CTGCGTGGGAGTACTCGGAGCGGTCCTTTGTATAGCGGTTTCAGCGACTGTCATATGGACACCAAATTCTGCTGCCCTCTGTGGAAGCGCTCGTCCGACAGGTCAGAATACCCACGTTCTAGTGGGTAGTAGTGCTACCTAGTCAGGAACAAGTTAGATTATTTATTCACGACGTTTCAGAATCAAAAATAACAACCTCGTCGTCTCTTGAAGTGGACTACACGCTAACAGAGAGAAAATGAAACGTCGACCATTATTTCAAGAACTGGAAGTAAGATCGCAAAATTAGAAAAAAACCGGCCATCTACGACAACCAGACAATGTAGCTGTCTCCCAAATTCCAATGGTTGGAACCAATTCGAATAAAGGCACAGCTGGTTCAGAAAATTTAAAATCGATCTGCGCAGGATAAAGCGCCCCAAAAAATGAAATCTACATTTATGTAGGCCAAAGTACATATACTGTCTAAGTCCGACAACCTGGAAGTTCACATCAGTGACCTCTCCCCCGACCTCATCTTAACAGACACATGAGTGTGGATCACGACTTCACTTAAACCATCTTTGCACAGCGCAGAGCCATCCAAGTTCACGATGTCAACCCTACACCTTGTCAAGAGGACTTCCTCCACCTTTGAAGAAGACTGCTTCGCTGAAGCCTTTCGAATGCTTGTGTGGCCGCGACTGGAGTTTGTCATTCAAACCTGGCGACCCTGAACCGTCAAGCATCCCAGCATCCTCGAAAAAGTTCAAAGGTGCTCAACCAAAATTTTCAATGGATAAAACTCGCTACCCTACGAAACGCAGTCATCTAATCTCTATATTTTTCCTTCGAGTTGCAGCCAATCATGAATCGACCTGATACAAACATCCTGCACTATGCGCGACCAGGACTGCTGTCTTGTGCCCGAAGACCTTTTCGAGTTTGCAACCAAAACGAACCAGCCTGGAATATTCTGTCAGCGGATATCGCTATGTCCACATTTGTGGAAGCTTTTAAGATAAAACTGAACCGGTATTAAATTACACACGGCCATGCTACCCCTGCGACGTCATCTTGACGCCCTGTCTAGGAACTGATTGCCGTAAGAATGCTACTGTGCATATTTCCTTGGCCCAATGGTTAGAGGCGTGGACTTCTAACAGGTCGCGAGTTCGAGCCTCGGGTGTTTTACCCTTCGGGGTTAGGTATGACTGGCTGATGACGGCTAATAAGTCAGAACTGGCCATTCCAGTCTCCCTTGTCTTTGTCGGTAATATCATTCCGCCTATATCATGCGCCGCTGTGCGGCTGCTGGTTGGGCTCTAGAGAGATCCCGTGAGGCACAACGGAAGGAGTGAGTTCCGTAAGAACGATCGGTGAGCGCCTCCTACCATTAAGCAAACTTGGTTTTGTGGAAGTAGGGAAAGCCCAATACGAATCAGAATATTTTTCCCACCTATCTGCACTGGCAATGAAATGTAATGGGACTGCCGCATGCTCGGCAGGTATGGTAACACGAAAGGCCGTCCAATGAACGTAAGTTTAATGCAAGTACTGACAGGGAGCGGTCTTCATGCCCGACTCCTGCATGCTGCTTTCACAGGTAGGAACCTGTATGTGGTGTTATAAGAGACTATGAGACCAGTCCTAGCCAAGTCTTCAATACCCGTTCATTGCATGTCGACAAATAAGCCTGCTTTTTTTACAAGCTCGTATAATTAATCCGACACAATTGTGAAAAACTCGGCCGCGTCGATGGGGCTTGAAACTAAAAACAGCAAGTGTAAGACTTCTGCACAGCCAACGCTCTAACCAACTTAGCTACGAGGCTCGGACTGGCAGCCGCCAGTGAGCGTATAAATCAAAATTGATGGATTCCATACGTTTTAGTAGAGTGAACGGGTAACTCGACCCATATGGGATTGAGATTATCGCGGCCAAGGATGTGAGATAAACTTAAACCACACACAATAAGTTCGTTTCGTCTAGTGTCAAAGTCAGGGAACTGTGAGGACTAGTTTATGCTATCAAAGGGCAGGTTGCCGTAAGTTGGCTGTTTGCTTGCGACAGACATAAGCGTCCGTTCACGGAGAGTGGCAGTCGCGGTATGAATGTGTCCCTGTCTGTGCGCTACCATCGTCGGGTCAGGTCCCTAGTTGTAGGGAGAAAGACGGAAGGCACCCGAATGAGAGGTTTATTGTGCACAGAACCCGGAGTTGTCCTCTCAGGCGGCAGCGGCCACTGGCTAAGCTAGGGCTGGTGTTGACTGAGTCCAGTCATGCCTGAGAGTCCCTGAGATAGCGGTGGCAGCTGCCTGTGTAGGCTCGTGGGCCAAGCTCAAGCGATGGTGTCCAATCGGTGTGTGTTGCATTTGCCGGGGGGTGGTGTCCCAGTGGCTTAGGTTGTGGTTGCAGGGGGGAGGTGCGTTCAAGTGGCCGCATGGGCAGTTGCGGCTGTGCGGTCGCAGGTGTGCCCGAGCTGTCGGTCGTGTGACTTCAGGTCAGCGCGTTTGGAACGGCTCACTGCAAAAGGGTGGATGGCCTTGAGGCAGCGAAATCCTAAACAATGACACCAGACCGGTCATGATGGCTGGCCGCCACAAAATCACCACTCCCGACCGGGTCCTCATACACCAGAGAGTTAGAGCATTGGCTGCATTCAAACCTTGCCCTTGCTGTCGCGGGTTCGAACTCCACCGGGGCTGCCGAGCTTTACACAATGAAGTCAGACAAAATAAGCATGTGTCGAGGGAACACGCCCTCGTAAAGCCACGGGCGCTCTTGTTCGAGTTGATTACTGATGCAAGACCACACCGACACTCGTGCACAAACGGGGTGGAGCTGGTCGTGTTCACTTCCTTTCTGGCGGTTGTCGAAAATGACTCATCTCTCACCGACCTCGACATGACCAGCCGGCTGCTGGAAGAGTTGCATGGCCTCAGCGTAGCCCCGAACAGTTGTGGTCACAAACCCACTCAAACACTGGCTATCAGCCACTTTTACGCCATTATTCCTTGTAGCCTATTCTTTCAGCCTTTATTTTTGATATCTGATTTTGGAAAACGATTCGTTAGTAGGCCGGGATCACTGTCGAACCCTTCTTCTGGTGCCCAGAAAGACTGCAGGTAAACAGTCAAATACCGACGTTGGCTTGTTTCGCCTAGAACTGACAACACTCTTTAAATCAAACTAGAAACGGTCCTCCTTTGTGGATGACTTTAAGCAAATTTCCAGGGAACCCATCCAGTGATCACATTGCTGAAGCCATCATCAATCACCGTATGATGCATTGGACTCAGGGGACATAAAAGATAGCGCTCGAAATTCACCAAATAGAAATTTCCAGCTGTACAAAAGACAGCTCAAATTCTTAAATGCCCGTTATATGTGGAAACTGACGGCTTGAATTAATCCAACTTAAATGACGATAGAGGGGTTTCGCGGCATTTTCGGGAGCTGACATTCCCAGGACAGAGGTTAAGGACCTCATGACACATGACCTTCTGCTGTTTTCTGGTGGCAAGTAGATAACAACAAACACGCGGCCGGCAGTTCAACAGCGCAAAGGAGAAGTAAAAAAGGCTAAAGTAGAACCTTCGTGGAAGCTTTACTGACTGTTCACTTTGTTTATAAACGAATTTCGGGTCCTGAGGTTTGCCACGGGCCGAAAATACCGACTGAATGAGTTTGTCATCAGCTTGCTCCTTGATGAGGACCGAAGACAAATGTAGCTTCTTTGCTAGTAGACATGCGGAAGTTTAAGAAGCGTTAGCCAGCTGAGACCCTCTACCGCCCAAATGAGCTCAAAATAACGGTTATCTACCCCACCGAGGCGCAAAGAAAGGTAACTTCGAAGTTTTATATCAGTAGGTGCAATCTGCGCAGACTTCGCCGTTGAAAATTTCACCTTTCAGTTCGTTTCTTTCGCAACAGATGATCTGCCTCGCTTTTATGGTCGTTGAAAGGGGACAGGTTAGTTGCAATAACGACAGGTCGGCCTTCGCAAACGAAAATGTCCACTGCGTGCCTCACAGAGTAGGTGCAGCATCGGTGACTTGAGGGTAAGGTAGTTTATAATGAGGTAGACTTGCGAAGCATCTGTAACACCTTCTTCCCTCACCCAACCTGTTTTGCTGACGAGGAGACGTCAAGATGAGCTAGATGGCTGGCGTGTCACACCCGACCTGATCCACACCTCATGTACTAGGCTACAAGAAGGACCACCTGGACCTCATATCAGTGAAAATTCCATAAAGATCTCATTAAAAAGGTGTCATTGCTGCAATGTGGAGGAAGGAATGCCCATTTGCAATCTCCGACGACAGCATGCGCTGTGCTCACTCTACTACCGCATATAATCTATCGTGACTGCCTCTCTGGAATGAGGAGTGCTCTAGGTACAGTTAACGTCAAGCTTTGTGCTGAATAAAGAGCACACCATCAACGAGCTGTTCGTTGAAGAACACTGGATAAGAACCGACATTTTCAACCGGGACACGAAGGCGGGGCCGATAAAAACGAGGGTGATCTTTGCTATATTCAGAGTGCCCAATGCCCGCCGTTTTGAGGGCCTTACGTGTCTGACCTTAAAAACAATAACCATGGTTTGCTAATCTGACATCGCCACAAATCGTAGCAGGACCACATGACCTGCTAGGACGAACTTGATGTACATATTTGGGGGCGATTAAGAATGCAAACACGTATTTGTTCCAGTGAGAACTTTTCTAGTACAAATGAAAGCTCATTTACCCCGGAGATCACATTTACCCCTAATATCAGAAAAAAATTCCGGATGAATGTAGATCTACCCAAAAGCGACGCAATCACGCAAGAAGGACACTCAGCGTCTTCGAAATTCCCCACTTTGCTAATATCGATCCACGCGAGCGGTCACAATCACGTTTTCAGCGACGATCGATGAAACCCACGCAGGCAGCGACTCGTTCAGTCATTGAAGTCTAAGACGCTGGAGCAAAGCATGTCGTAAGTGAAGGTTTTTAGGTGAATTTGCGCGCAATGAAAAACGCTGTAATCAATGCTGTTGCTCAACCCTGCGCAAGTCCCCCCTGCGGCGTCATGCAAGACACCCAGGCAACCCGGGAGATGCCGAACTCAGAGCCAATGCAGAGGAAGTCCGTACTGTCGCAGTCTCAGCCCAGAGGGCTTCCCGGTCCAGTCCCGCAAAAGAAGTCTGTCTCTCTACTTGTGCCCCCAGAACATGTTCGCTGTCGGCAGGATTCGTCATCCAAACGCCGGCAGGCAGGACCACCCGATGACCGGTCACCTGACCTGACGGAAGGGGACGCGTCGAGAAGGTGCGTACCCCCGGTAGTCCCACGAATTCAGGGGGGCGCGGGCGGTGAGGGAGGGCGCCGAATGGAGAAACAGGACACCCAAACAGGCGGCGGGGACGCAGACTCCACTTGTTCGGAGCACCTGAAAACAACAGCCACCAACCACATTAAGATGCTCAAAATAAAGCAGCAGGTGATGGAAACTGTTATGCGCAAGCTACTCCAGTCTCTGAAGGAACTCAAGACAAACGAAGAATCCAATGGAAGAACCTGTGAGACTGAGAGGGAGCGCAGGCTGAAGGTGACCCGAATGATGCAACTGCTAATGCTGCAGCGCAAAAACCTGCAAATGCAGACTGACACTCTGACAGCCAGCCTCTCGACCCTCAAGAAAAAACACGAGCTTCTACGCAAACACTCCGAAGGCTGCATTGTTGAGAATGTTGAACTGAGTCAGGCCTTGGGTCAGTTGAGGTGTGAGATGGAAAAGAAGGATACTCACATCAAGGGACTGATGCAGTTGAGTGAAAAGTTGCAGAAGCAACTTGAAGTCCAGGCGGGCGCCGAGATCGCTCTGGAGAATACCGAGTTTGAACTGAAACGTCTCAAGATTGACAACGAAAATCTCAGGCAGGCAAATCAACAATTAGAATGCATATTTGCAGAAAAGGTGAAAGAACGTGAGACTACCTCGCTGATGAATGCTCAGCTGATGCAGGATTTGGAGCGCAGTCGAGCGGAACTGGCTAATGTGAGGATACGGTGCGAGAAGGTCACTGCGGAGAACCAAGCCCTGCGAAACCAACTGGCCATTTCAGAAGCGGGTACAAAAGATCTGTGTCTTCGCAAGGCCGAAATGGAGCAGCTCCGAGAACAGTATGAAAGCCTGCAATTCAGTCACCAGCGTCTACAGGCTCTTTATATTTCGGAGACGGAGACCCGACGAGCCCTACACAACCAGCTGCAGGAGGTGAACGGAAACATTCGTGTGATCTGTCGGTTCCGTCCCTCCACTGACGAGGAGGACAGTGAATCCCTTTTCGAGTTTTGTGCGATGGACAAGGTATTTGTGGCTGGTAGAGTACACCCCAGTACGAAGAACTACAAGCGGCAGCTGGGTCTGGATCAGCCGAGTGTATATTCAGCTCGAGATGAGTACTTTTCTTTTAATCGCATCTTTCAACAGAATGCCACCCAAATGGACATATTTCAGGAGATACGACCCCTAATCGCATCCTGTGTAGATGGGTACAACGTTTGCATCCTAGCCTACGGCCCCACGGGCAGTGGAAAGACCTACTCTATGCAAGGAACAAAAACTGAGCCTGGAATAAGCACTCGAGCAGTGAGGGAACTGTTTGACCTCGTTGAACCACTCCAGGGCGTCTGGAATACTGACATTAGCGTAGCAATGTTTGAGATACACAATGAGGTCATCTACGACCTGCTGGGGCAACAAATTCATCCGGTGCGTCTGTCAGACAACGGTCTTGATGTGCGTCTAATTGATTCGCAAGAAAAAATCACAAGCTCTGAACAAGAGACTCTCTACTGGATTGAGAAAGGCTACATGCGTCGCAAGATGACAGCGACCAAGCTGAATGTAGAGTCCTCACGTTCACACCTAATCATTCGAATGCAGCTGGGGTTAACAAGCACAATTGATGGACAAAAGAGGTCCTCCACCCTGGTCTTTTGTGATCTGGCGGGATCCGAGTCGGCAGAACGCATCGATGCTAGTGGATCACTGCATGTGGAGACGGGGTACATTAACAAGTCCCTGGTAACCCTGGCGAGAGTACTGGAAACTCTCCGGAAGCGAACGAACCTGGGCACGACTGCGCAGTTTTCCAACCTCGCCGTGCCCTATCGAGATTCGAAGTTGACTCACCTGTTGAAACCCTGTCTGGGGGGTCAGGCCAAATGCGTCCTCCTTGTGACCGCGTCGCCGGAAACCAGTCACTTGGACAGGACTATTAAAGCCCTGGAATTTGCTCAGCGCGCAATGCAGGTCGCTCTGGGCAAACCATCAAAGAACTTGCGCATTCTGGAGACCCGCAACAGCGCCAAAACGTAGGCCCTCGAAGCAACGCGGTTCCGCCTGTCCCCACACTCCCCCTGTCTGTATTCCCCTTTCTCTCACCTCACCGACTTGTCCGACCTCTGGACTCGGTGAAATGTGGACAATTTGCAATCTCTATGTACATGAATCATGCGCAAACTGACTTCCCTCATAACCCGGGAAAATTGTTGGGGTAGACACTCATCCAACTTAACTGAGGTGTTGATTATCACATGTAGTCGTCGTCCATACACGAGGATCCATTCTCCACGAATTAATATGTCAGGGCAGAGGTCTTTTCAGTGTCCTGATAGTTTCATTGGTAGAGTTAAGCAGTAGAAGTAGCCCATAAACAAGCGGCAAAAATAATATGGGGGTCAGTAGGCAAGAGGAATTTTGGGTGGGGAGATTCAGCTTGTGCTCGGAAAAAAATTTTTTTTGAAATAAGGCTCTTTAAATAACGATGAAAAATAGACAACTGGACCTAATTCTTGGGGAAGGGGGGCGGAGGATCATGCTGACCTTTATCTGGTAACATGACCGTGATCCAAGTCTCGATGGGACACTAACGTTTGCAATTAGTCCCATATTCCGAAATATAGGAGATGTAGCTAGAATCTTAACCATCGACAAGAACCTAGCCTTTATCCCACAAATTTTAACTGACCGCTCAGACTGTTACTTTTTGCCTTACTAAGTACTGTACGCCTAATACAATTTCCGCATGGTGCAACCCCCCCCCTCCCATACTTTTTGAACTGACTTCTTAGACTGATCGTTACGATTCAGCTGATCTGTCCCGTTAGTGTGCTAGAAAACACTACAGGTGAGTCAGTAACTCTTTGTGCTGATGTAAAGGTCATGATGCAGAAACTGATCACTTTCTGCAAGGGTAGGCCCTTGCTTATATGTAACTCTGCATGCCAAACAGACGTTTACACAGCTTGGAAAAAAGGAGGGAGGGTGGACGTTTATGAACTCGAGGCCGCCTACACAAGGCGACTGAAGGGATTCCTCGACGCCCTACGAAAACGACGCTCTCATCCAGATTCTGTAATAGATGACTCTGATGGTTAGTGAAACTAAACTATTATTACACATACTTGGTATAGAACCGTCAACAGGACCCTCCTCGTCCCTGCCGCGTGAGGAGTAATGCCGATAATATTTGCAATTTTTATTTTTATAATAAATCCTT